CCTCACCCACGAGAAGCCAGCAAAGAAGAGTAGGAAAGTTCTCTCTACTGCCCACTACATTACACAGAATGACCTGATTGCTGCCCACCATGCTTTGGAGGAAACTTCCAGTACTCCTACTACCGCAAAAAAGCGCAAGGATAAATCCAGTAAAGGACCTACTTCCAAGCGTCAAGCCAGAGCGCAAAGTGAGGGGATTATTACTGCCTTTGATAGTGAGGTTGATGAATTTATGCAGCAGGATTTGAGAGGGAGTGAAGTGGGGGAGCAGGAGGAAGATATACAAAGTCAGTTAGAAAATGAGGAAGAGAGATTGCCACTGGCTGAGACCTCGCATAATATACGTCAAGATTTAGCTGAACACAGACATTCTGGTATTGTTTCAAGAACCAGGAAGGGTAGAGGTAGAGATAGAGGTAAAGGAAGAGGGGGACAGTAGAATCATGTACGATCACTCGTTCTTGTTTCTCTTTCAGTTTTGATGTTCTGGTGATGTCTGCTTGGAATTGTGTTTCATAGTATGTACTCTAACTGCCAGTAAATTATTAAATTCTTAGCTCAAGTGGTGGTTGAGAGAGTCTAAATTTTGTATGTGGGATAATGGTTGTCACCAGGGATTTTTTGTGTGTAATCACTACGTCATGGGTAATCGCTACGCCGCGGACGTTACCCGAATTAATATCTTCCATCGAAGTCTTTACGGGCATCAAAGTACGTACCAGAATTTCCATTGGAAGACTAAGCCAAGGAAGTTCCATGAATGACCAACATATACAGCATATTTTATTAGTTACGGCCATAGTTGTTGAAAACTAACCGCTTAGCCACTTTCGTAAACGGTGTGCAAGCGAAAATTTCTGGTAACGAGAGTGCTACCCGTTCAGAAATTACGCTCGCAGTTGCATTGTACTCTACTCTATCTATATCTAACTGGGACCAGAGGCACGGTTCGATTCGCGGGCTAGAGAGTTCATTGCTAATCCAACTGCCGTTAACACTAGCTTCACTAGAAAGAATCCGGTGAGCGGTACAAACGAACTTCATAATTCACATGTGCGGAGTTTCGAATTCCTACAGCCCAGTTCCTAACTTCATATCATTGTTCGCTAAACACAGTGACAGGCCACCCGATTGCGAAAGCCCCCTAATTGCAAATCTAATAGTTTTGCTTGGTTAAATCTCGACAAGGGTTGTGTACTGAGACATCGATGAAAGATTGTGAGCACTCCAAAAGCTTAAGAGCAACAAACTTTTGATTTCTTTGCTTTTCTCCGAGGCACGTGATGCATGATATCGACAAGCCCGCTAGCGCCAGGTAATTAATGTGTTTTGTTCATAGAAAATTACTGCACGCGGGCTATAGAATAGTGTAGTGTCTGCTACTCGGACCGTTGGCCCGCAAGGTGCAAAAGGGACTGTCAAGGCGCCTCGAACCGACTGTGGAATAGAGATTTTGCGCTAGGTTACCTGCTCCAAAGTTCCTGGCTCCAAAAATTCTATGGGTCCAAGAAGTCTTGTAAAGAAACTAGAATTGAAAGCTGCACAAAAAATTTTTGCGGTCTGAATAGACTCACCTTCAGCTTTGAAGTAAGGGGCCCGCGCACTTGGTTACTGTATTATAAAATCTCGAAACTGTTAAAGCCAGGAACTTTAAAGCTGTCCCGGTAGCGTAAACTTTAGCTCTCTAATAAATCCAGGAAAACATGAAAAACGTTCAAAACGTGCAAAACGTGTGCATAACGTTGCATAACGTTGCATAACAATGACTCCGAAACCGCAAAACGATGCCCAAAACGGTGGCCCAAAAACACCACTGTCTATAACCCAAGTAGTGTACGGAACGTCGTCCTAGAACCTCTGAATGCTAGTCCTAGGAGTTTAGTGCATGTATACTTGTAGCTAGCATTCAGTACCAAAGATGCAACCTGTACATAAGACATGGCTAGACGTAAACCGAGAATGGTAACGATTGGACGTTTGCCTACCTACCTTTTCAGGCAAGTTTCATCACTCGTATTTTTTTAGTACGAAATACACGCAACAGACACAACTGGTGGAAAATCTCTCCAGATTCGTGCCGGTAGCTCTTTCGACCTTTAGGATCCCGCTCACGTTCGTCGAACGCGATACTCGCGGATCTGTTGGTGATCAGAACCGAATGTTAAGGCTACGGTAACATTCCCCTTCATACCCATCTAAGAATTGATTCTCGATAATACCATCCTTTATCTTTTACAGGTTTCAGCAAGCAGTGGACTACTTTTGGCGTCTTCCAAAAATGAGAGCGGCTCTCCGAGGGTTCTCGGTGAACTCAACAGTCCAATCAGGCATATTGGACACTTAGACTGGCCAGGCTGGCATGTTAAGTAAACAGGCCTGAACACGCTGGATCAATTCAGGTATCTTCGCCAAGAACTGCGGGTAACTGGTAGGCCCTGAATCAATATGGGTGCCTGTATTTTCATTCAGTCCAAACAATTGCATTTACCTACAGTCACCGGGCGGTACCTGTTTTCCAGTAGTCCAAATAAATCTATGAGTCAAATAGGTAATGTAATCCATAGATCTAGAAACCATACCGGACTGTATCAATAATTCAATGGACTAGGCTGACCTGCCGGTCAGTCCTAGGTTACCTGTATTATAGCCCGGTTGCATGCGAAGACTGACCTGGGTTCTGGTGCAATTTATCACAAACAACACCTGACCTCACATACAGTCTCTAATAACACGTGACAGAGTCCCCAAGCTCGCGGTTCATGTAGTTTGGATTTATGGCCACAACGCATCGAATATTGCGAATTCTTCGTTTGTGACAGCTTCATTGGCAAAATCTCCCTGAATAACTGGTCAAAACACTCGTTAAATTGTATACCATGTATGAATTTGAAAGGTTTGCAATTGCCAGAACGCCTAAAGCCTAAGAAGCTTGACTACATACCAGCTGTTTTGCCAAAGAAAACCCTGTCATACTCACAAAAAGTCACTCGATTTCTCGCGATGATGGCTGACGGTTGACTGACTTGGGCTCACCCAGACTCGACGTATTTGCACAAATGTGCTGGGCTCGTCGTATTCCGGGCCAATGACGACAGGCCTGGCACGAACCCGATTCCTTCAGCCGCCGCAGCTTTCTTGATATGAGTGACACAGCGTTATCCTCAGTGCTACTCGTCGGGTTTTCAAGTCTCCGGACACCCAATTATAAGCGCTGTTGATAACACATTAAACTTACGATGACTACATCACAACTAAAATAACTACACATCAAAATTGAATCACTCCTAAATCACAAAACCAAGCGCTAAAATCAGTTATGAGCACTCTGTTCATACACTGGTGATTCTAAGGAAATAAACCTAATCTTATCGAAGTCATCTAATCGATGACAGTGTCCGGAGACCTGAAGATCCGACGGGTACAGATGTTGTTTGGCGGTTGTCGACAAAAGCATGTGGAAGCACTTTGAAAAAGGTGTGGCTAGCCTATGACGTATCCCATCTCACGCCATCACCCGCCACAACTGTGACGTACAACCTATCACACGACACAAACCAGCTCATTCTTTCAATTCTCCACTCCATAAATCAGACCAATCCTCCCACTACTGCATCGTCTCTTCATAACCAAACAGTCCAATCGCACCTATACCACATCACACCTAATACCCACAAACACATACACATACAACACCGCAATCATGACCACCGTCAACGTCAGTAACATTTCTCCCGAAACCACCGAAGACGAACTATCCAACTTCTTCTCCTTCTGTGGTAAAATCACCTCACTTTCTTACACCCGCGACGCCAAAAGCGCCAGCATAACCTTCGAGCGCGATTCCGCCGCTCGTACTGCCCTCCTCCTCGACGGCACCCCACTAAACGAGACCGCCCTCTCGGTCAGCTCTGTCTCTCCTCCCTCCGAGCCCCTCCCCGCGGCTCCCGCCCCCTCCCCAGACCTCCGGCAAGAAGACAAACCCATCTCGGCCGTATTCGCAGAGTACCTTGCCTCCGGCTACAAGATTGGCGACGCTGCCCTCCAGAAAGCAATCGAGCTAGACCACAAACACCATCTCGCCTCTAAATTCGCAACATATCTCAACAACATTCTTTCCACCCTAGACTCCAAGACCGGGGCGTCCGAACGGGCAAAGGAGGCCGACCAGACGTTCCACCTCACAGAGAAGGCGCATGAATTGGCACGGTACTTCGAGAAGGCGTTGGAAAGCCCCGTGGGTCAGAAAGTGCGTGCTTTCTATCAGAGTGGAGAGAAGCAGGTTATGGATATCCATAATGAGGCTAAGAGGTTGGCGGGACTGAAGAAGGAGTTTGGTGGTTCTGCGGATGGAAAGCCGTTTGTGGCTCCCGATAAGAGTCAGTGTGGCTGCCAGCCGGGACAATGTACGTGTGCAGGTTGTGAGAAGGCCGGAGCGAAGGAGGCTGAGGAGAAGGCTGGTGCCGCCGGACAGGTTGAGCATGCGTTCCAGGATGTGAAGGGACTGTCAAGGATGCTGCGGAGACTGTTTAATTGGGGAAGGGAAAGCTGGGGATTTGGGTTTCTTCTGTTCTGGTTCATCGCTGGATGTTACGATGCTTACTTTTACTTTTAGTTGTACTTATACTGCCTGGGATGCGAATTAATGGGGTTCTCTTTCGGTGTTATAGTGATTTCACGATGTCTAGTCTTCGAGTGTGAAATTTCTGTGTCTATGAATGCCATTGAGGGGAATCTCTGGGCTTGTTTCCATTATGCCGTCAAACTCAGACCCCACCTCAGAACGGGGAACAGCTTAAGTTATGGCTTCAACTTTTTCGAGATTTGATATTAGATACTTGCTAGCAACCTAATCGAACACTCAACTTTCGAAGGTGAAGGTGAACTAATTTAGACCGCATAAATTCTTGATGCAGCTTCTTGACAACTTGCAGATCGTTAGCCACACTCTCTACTTTTTATGCTTGGCTTATATCTGCCAAAAGCACTTAATCCACATCGAAGGCAAGATGGCCGAGCGGTCTAAGGCGCCAGACTCAAGCGAAAAGTTTCCCTGGTTTCAATCAGGGTTAGCCTTCTGGTCTCGAAAGAGGCGGGGGTTCGAATCCCCCTCTTGTCATCATTCTTTTTTTTTGCAATGTTTTTTTTTTTTACCACTGTGGGGTAGAGATTTTGTTTTGGTGGTGAAGATTTCGGGTCGGAGATAAAGAATGAAGGTTGAAGAACACCTCAAAGTGATGATGCTGCCCAGCTGGTAGTTAGCTCTGCCCTTCTAGCTCTTAGTGTTTATGGGCCCTGTTGGAGGTGGGTTGTTAGGGTAGTTTTTATAGAGTGGTCGAGTGTGCACTGGTAGCAAGCGTGGAGTTTTAAGAAATTGATGGCAAAAAAAGCAGACCAATCACAGGAAGCAAAACAATCAATATCTTAACCAGGCAGCCTCCATCCAACATCCTTCAATCATTATCAAATCCACCGCGAAAACAAGTTACCAAACCCTGTAGATTCAAGGCTTGCCTTCACCAAGACCCAAAATCTGTTCACTGGCACACGAGGATACTTTAATTGATTCCATTGTACTATGTGACGTTGGTGGAATACGAATAAACTCCAAACCTCTTGAAGCTCTTACAAACAATCTGATACACGGCCTTTGAGAGAAGCTAGACGTAGTGCAGGGATTTCAATGGCACTGGCAACTGGTACAAACTAACTGATAATATAAAGTGCTGGCGTAGTGGAACTCGTCTGTTTCGTGGCAGGTACCCTGAACTTTCCGGCTCCAGGATGCAATACCATCTCTTGCTTGCAACAGGCACAGCAGTCGTAGAGGTTGCGGTTGGAACCATAATATTGGAAGTAGCGGTTCGGATAGAAGTCTAAGAGCGATAATGAATTAAGGTTGCTACTCGGTCTCTCTAAATACATCATGGCAGAAATAAAATGGCCGGTCCTCCTGGACTGGGCAGGCTCGGATTCTGACACCGGCGCGGAGTCGAGCAGTATTTCCAACACATACTAGGCGTTCAAGATAGATTTGGTGGAGGGCCTTCCACGGTATCTCATGGGTAGTGCAAGGCGTTCAATAGCAACTGGTACAAGTCAATTGGTGAAATCTGGTAGCAGAATGATTGGTGTCCGTGCCAAACCTTGAATGTCATGTAATAGTAGTGCAAAGCCTTCGACGGCAGCTAGTAGTGCAAGGCCTTCAGTGCGATTGGTGATGACCGGTGGAATCGAAAGTACCGGCACGATCCTATACTCGGCACCGATACTACAACCAGCAACGGCGGAATGACACTGCGTTCCACATCTGGAGATACGGTCAGCGTTGCTTGCTCGCTCACAACCTCGCGACCGTGGAACAATACCTCTGCGTTCCACATCGGGGGGTTATGGGCAGTACACTAGACCCTTGGTTGCTTGCAATCTCGCTGTTGATAGAAGGCCCTGGTTGAACATAATCAGTGTTCCGAAGCGGTCAGATCGACCGCCCGGCAATCTACGGATTGACAGATCGGTCAGATGCGGTCGTAATTTCTAAAGCCGCCCTTGGTATAGACCGGCCAGATGAATGGACAGAAAAGCCTGGATATCTTCGGATATCTCCAGATATCTATCTTGGCACAGATGCTTGTGGATATCTGGCGCTTAAAGGAGGAGCGGTGGATATTCATAATTATTACTGGTATAAATGATATTCCGGTAGTACATTGTTTCTAGCCTTGAAATCTGTAGATATCTATAGACCGACCAAACCAAGATCCAGAACGATCTACAGGTCGATAGTCCAGTCAGATTGAGATTTCCAAAGCCGCCCTTGGCGTAGACCGGCCCGGTAACAGGCTATATCTGACGGATCTGACCGCTTCGATTCACTGAACATAATTCTCTGTAAGTAGATTTAACCTGCATTGTCTTTCGCCTTCTTCCCATGCGAGATCATCTGAATCTTTCCCATAATCTGTCTCATCATCAGAGTCACTCAAAAGTGGATCCAAATCATCCTCCTGGTGTTATGTCATTCGCTGGGTCAATTCATCGGAGGTGGAGCCAGTCGCATCGACGATAGACCCATCAGTGGTAGATGCAAACCCATCGACAGATTCATCGGCTAACCCAACAGCGTGAGCGGTGTTCCCATACCGGTGCAATTCGTTGAATTGATCACTATCATTTCCAGTCTGCCCTACTTATTGTGAGATAGTGAAGTTGAAGGGCCTACATGAATTAAAGGCCAGCATTAAATCATAAAATAACCTAATAAAGTTTACAAAAAGTTTATCGCATCTAGCAACAATGCACACTCGAAGCCATCTTCCACTTGGCACCGACTCGACTAAGGTCGAAATCTGAAACGTAATCGATGGCTCCAAAGATATACGAGGATTCCCGATTGAACCCATTTTTGATATTGGGCCATGAACTTGCCTCGCGAAAGATAAAGCTCGTGTTGATTTGTTCGTTGTAGGAGGATACACATGTAGTAAAAGCAGTCTGTCGCGGTTCCAGCTTCAACGGCAAATGAGGGTGCTATCAACTGAAGACCTAAACCCCATCACCAAACACATCCGCATCTAGGTATTTGGTATTAAGGTACCGGAATAACATGCATAAGCTACCGTGGACTTTCGCCACGATATTAGCACTGTACCTTATTATCGAGTAGTTGTCTCGTACCCTGGAACATTCGAAGCGGCCGGCCGAAGTTAGTGAGTGAGAAGGTCGAGGAACGAGAGATGAGTTGGTGTGATGGTGAAAGCAAGCAAAGCGGTTTGCCTGGAAAGAACATGTAGGTAGAAAGTGGGTGTTAGGGCTGAGGGTTTGTAACCCTGGCTTGAAAGGCAATGATCCGAGACTTCCAAGGCAACATCTGGTATGAGGACATCCCCTTGTGTGCTCTCATATTCTCACACTTCTGCTCTTCCTGCCTGGCAAGCTCGCTGGTTAAAGAACAGCACCCGCCCTTTCTGCTATATCATCAATCCTTCATTCTCAAGAATAATATTCCAACCTCTCGCTCAACCACAATTCTGATTAACATTCCAACCTCAGCCACAAAACCCGATGTGAATTATCACCCAGATGATACCTACCCTAGATTAACAAAGTGTGGAATATATAAAAATATCATAGGGGTATCTACACCCGATATCTTCAAATGCAACATCAAAGCCGTATGACAGACAAATCTAGCCCGCCTGTAGAAAAAAAAAGAAACCACAATTAAACCCCCTCCCACAATTAAGCCCCCCAAAATCCTAAAAAAAAAAGCAACACACCCGAACTCCCAACATATCATCATAACACTCCCAATCCCATCCTACGCCATCACCCCCCTAGTATGCACACTCCTCCTCTTATCCACCTTAACCAGTATATCCTTCAACGCCTCTCCAAACTCCCTCAATAACCTAACCTCATCGGCCCTCAACGCCGGTGCTCCCGACGCCTTCCTTGCGAACGCCGCCAACACAACCCCCCCTCCACTTTCCTCATTCTCACACTCTTCACAATCCCTTACCAGCGGTAACAAAATCCCTAATTGATACCCAACATCATCTTCATCCCCCGAGTCCTCCGCAACAGGGTTCTGGAATATTAATCCCCCAATGCTCCTCAGAGCGCGAAGGTGCAGGCCGCCGTCAAAGATTGGTGGAGGATCTGGAAGTCCGTGTGCGACGAGGACTTTAGTTGATATCTCAAGTTTCTGTTGGTTAGGGTCGATGGGGACTAATGGCGAGGAGAGTGTGTGGGTTGATGTAACGCGGAGGAGGTAGACGAAGTCGTAGTCGAGGGAGCGGGCGATGAGGGAGGTTGCGTAGGTTGCTTCGACCATGGAGGTTATTGAGCCGGGTGTTGCGGGGATGCGAGAGGTTATGGGGGATTGGATTGGGGAGAGGGAGTTTGTTGAGGTTCCGGGGTGTGGGACGGGGAAGATTGGGAGAGGGCGGTGTTGTTTGTAGCGAGGTGTTGTTGTGGTGCAGATTGAGGAGGGGAGGGTCGACGGGGACGGAAGGGCGGATGAAGAGGAGAGTAGTGTTGATGGAGAGGTTGGACAGACGATATGCTCTGGTTGTCGGCGTGACGACTCGAAATCCTCTTCGGGGAAGGATGTGGGTGTTTCCGGGGGAGGAAGCATAGGCTCTTCCTGACTCGTATTGATATCCCTCAGCTTTGGTCTTGCCACGAAGCTGTCCTGCGGTCTTATGGGTACCGTGGGCGAGTCCAGTAATACCTCCGATGCCTCACCAGCCAGGAATGGGCTTACTGGCGGCATCTTTTCCGCGTCCGCCTCGATTCCCTTGAGGATTTTTATGGAAAGCAATCCTCGCCGAGAAATCACAGATTCCGAGTCGCTGTCTGTAACCTTTGTCTGCCCAACTATTTTTGTCGGCTGATGCTGTCTCAACACTTCTCGGTCTTCCATTACCATCTCAAACTCGGTCATGGCTAATCGCGCAAAATCCATGAGGTTTCTTCGCGAGGCTGCTGGAAACGCGGATCTGGGCTGTGTGTCGAACACTGCAAAAACGCCGATTGTGTGACCTTCGAAAGTAACGATGGGTGCTCCTGCATAGAATCGTAGGTGCGGCGAATCCTGCGTCAACGGATTTCCACGAAGCCGCCAATCTTTAACGGTGTCCAAAACAACCATCGGCTCATTGCCCAATAAAACATGCGCGCCAATGCTATCCGCTCGAGTGATGTATTTCCGTCCGAAGGAGTGCTCTGCTTTCACTAGCTCGAGATTCTCATCCACCAGACTGATGCAGGCCATGCGCGTCTGGAAGACCTTCCTCGCGAGGAGGACGAGCCTGTGACATTTCTCTTGGGCCGCAGTGGGCAGGATGGTGTTGCACGCTTTCACGGCCTTTAGTCTCTGTCGCTCATCTGGAGGCGCCGGCGCGGTGAGATGATTGAATTCCGGTCTCCTTGGCGGCGGATCTGGCGGGTTGGAAACATTGAATCGTCCCTCGGAATAACATTTGATGAAGAACCCCCATTCCTGCACATACTTGCAGTCTGTGGCTGCGGCCATCGCCGCTTTTTCCCGCTCTCGAAGGCTCCGCCTATACATATCCGCCGCTGCGCTAGTATTCACTGAATATATGCTGCCCG